AAAGAAAAGAAAGAAAATCCATCTATGAGCGCTCTTGGCAGACGGTAATTTAAAGAATTTAGGCATCTATTTTTCCACAGAGTTGTCATACTGCTGTGTTAAGGGGACTGTGGTATCTTAGGGACTTAGAAAAATGTTTTCCAATAGATTCTAAACATTTTCTGAAAACCAGAAACTCTAATGATCCTTAAAGGCTAACCCCCTCCCCAACTGCCAAAAAACCCAAAACACAACAACCTTCAGGACCCTCAAATTTCTGTATTTTCAGCCTTGGAACTCTGCTCAAACTAATAAGCATGTCCTGCTAAAAAAATTACTTCAAAAAATTATAGAAATGCCTTTGAGATTCTTTTCGGGGTACCATAGCAGTCAGTACCACGAAATGTCATGTATTCTAAAGCCACTGCAGACTTGGATTGCCACCTAACTTGGTTCCTTGGTATCTGTATAACCTTGCACAAATTAGTGTTCCTCACAGACTGGAGAGCAGTGAAGAGGATTAAAGAAATATGTGTCAATAATAACAAGGATAGCAGTCAACACATAGCACTTATGTGTTAGGCACTGTTAAGCACATAACATACACATGAAGAAATACTACATGGGTTAACACATAGTATATTAACTTACCAATCTTTCTTAAAGTCATACTTATCATTTACTACCTGCATATAACCCTGTTCAAATTAAATAATCTTCATAACTGTTATGAGACAGGAGCTTTTCTTTTTACAAACAAACTTACACACAATAAAATGGGATTAATCATGTCTACCAATAAAGTTTTCACGAGAATCTGCCCAAAGTTACACAGCAAACTGAATGCTTTACATTTTCTGACAAGATATATATGTAAAATTATAAAAGTGAATTAGACAGAAATACATTAAATTCTTGAACACAGCTTGCTGGTTTACTTGTATTGTTCCAAGCTTTTTACACATTGTTCAAAATGTCATGTCTCCAGGGGTAAATTGCAGGACAGCTGCAAAATCCAGCAAACAAAATCTTAACCTCGATGTTAAAAAGAAAATCTAAGGCCAGGTGCAGTGGCTCATACCTGTAATCCTAGCACTGTGGGTGGAGTGTCTGAGCAGGAGCCAGACCTGTCTCTAAAAATAGCAGGGCATTGTGGCAGACATCTGTAGTCCCAGCTACTTGGGAGGCTGAGGCAAGAGGATTGGCTTGAGCCCAAGAGAAAATCCAAAAAAGAAAATCCAAAATTGCAACTCCCTGGGCGGCACCTGTGGCTCAAAAGAGTAGGGCACTGGCCCCATATGCTGGAGGTGGCAGGTTCAAACTCAGTTCTGGCCAAAAACTACAAAATTGCAACTCCCTAACAACACAGGAGAAAGATACAGGATTGAGGATAAGGCAACTTTAATTATACTTATTCTATTTCTTTAATATTCTAAAGATTTAAAACAGGGTGGGCACTTGTATCTCAGTGGTTAGAGTGCCGGCCCCCCTGTACCACAGCTAGCAGGTTTGAACCCTGCCCAGGACCGCTAAACAAAAACAAAAAAATCAAAAAAGAAAAAAAAAAAAAAGAATAACGTAAAGATTTAAAACAAACAGAGCAAGATGCTAATTTTGAAATACTAGGTATAGGATATGAATACTTTTTTGGGATTATTTTTCTGTGCTTTAACTTCTCAAAATAAAAAAAAAATAACATAGTTAAAGTATCTAATATACTTTGCACCTTTCAGGGAAGTAAGGATTAAGTGACTCACTTTAAGTTAATGTGCAGCAAGTTCCCTTTAGAGGGGGCCTAAAATCTAGTTGTCGAAACTCTTTTTTTCCTCATATCCATATGCTGAAATGATATACTTACCTGTATAATGCTGTATAATACCGATCCGATATCGTCTGCTGAGAATTCATTACTTGGAAGAGCAACATTAGAGCCTGCACACTGGTATTAAAATTCACCATATGCAGTACTTTAAACAGCGTGTCAACCTGTTCCCTCACTTTGTCATCACCACTCTTGGCATAAGGGTATGCCCTATTCACACCTGTTAAAAGGGCACTAAGCATTTTGGACTCAATATCTTTTTTCTTGATGCAAGTCCGAAAAAAACAAAAATAAAGAGTTATTAATTTGTTAGCCAATTCACTTTCTTCATGGGAGAGGACCATTTGATTTAAAAAGCAAATTGCATAATATTGAGCTTTAGGGCTGATATTTGAGCGAAAGAGTAGCCTTTCTACTTCACCACATACAACTCCTTTCATATTGGGATGTTTACTAAGTAATGTCTCCAACAGATGGGAGGCTTTTGTGGCTATTCTGTTCTGAGGATCTCCTAGTTTATTTACTAGCTGGACAAGAAGAGCCTTTTCTTCCTCAGGCTTATTACAAAGAAGCTCATGAGCCACTGTTAGGGCTCGGATTTTAGTGGTTACTAAGGTATCATGGCTTAAAGTTTCTAAGACATGTACAAATTCAGCCACTAAGTGTTTCAGCTGGTGTTCAAAATGCCACAGGATCAGTCTTCTATCTCTTGAGTCCTTGTTGCCACTGGACAACTGTTCTAGTTTGTTGAAAGGATGCTGGCTGAAAATCCGTAGCTTCCTACTATCTGGCAAAAGGTCTGTAATGAGTAATTCTTTGAAAGTATCCAAAGCCATGAGGCACTGCTGTTTGCTGCCCTTCTTTTTAACAAGGCTCAGCAGAGTTTCTACAAACTGGAGTGTATGAACAGCATCATCCTGAATAAGAAGAATCATGGCTGCCATCCTATCACCCAATGTCCCTGAGGACACAATTGCCTTCATCCAGGTGGAAGAAGCTCCCTTTTGATTATTTGTCTTACTTTTGAATAAGTTTATTTCATGTTCATACAGCTTCTGAGCAAGACTTTTGTACTTAGTCACAACGTCCTGAGGCTGGGGTTCCAAAGAATGTTCATTAGTATACTCCAGGTCATACCATTTGCCTCCAGGCTTTAGTAACAATGTCTGTCTCTCAAAAAATTCAAAGACATCTTGCTTATCTTTCTTTACTTTTGGTTTGGCATTGCTGTTTTCATTGGAACATGGTTCTGGCCTACTCTTATTTTTCTCCTTTTCGATCGATGTCTTTTGACTTTCTACTGCATTTTGCTTTTTATTAGATACTTTTGCTTCTTTTTTGCTGGAATTTTCTTTTTCAGCCGGTTCATCCTCGGTTAAGAATGCTTTTGTATACTTGGCCAAATTAAGATTTTGAATAAATGCTTCCAATTCACCATGCTGCAGGTCATCAACTGTTCCTTTTTTGCCTCCATCCACTACTTCCTCATTCTCATCCAACGTAGCCAGCATAAGGTAATCTTGCTGCATAATAACATAAATTAAAAATGTTATAAATGTAACAGTTAACTCCAAAAGTTAATCTGAAATCTATCTCTTTGAAATCAATAAACTATAGTAGGCTGGGCAGGGTGGCTCACACCTGTAATCCTAGCATACTGGGAAGCTGAGGATAGACTGTCTGAGCTCAGAAGTTTGACATCAGCCTGAGCCAGAGTGAGACCCTGTCTCTAAAAAATAGCTGGGCATGGCTTGGTGCCTGTGGCTCAAGTGGTTAAGGCACCAGCCACATACACCTAAGGTGGCAGGTTCAAATCCAGACCGGGCCCACCAAACAACAATGATGGCTGCAACC